ATACGCTTTTACCCGTTATAGAAGGGGTGGTTATAGGCCGAGGAGGAGTACCTTAAGAGGTACTAATAGATAGGCTACTAGAAGGAGGTAAGAAGTAATTAGGATAATAAGTAATAAGCCCTCGCCTATAGATAGGTATATACCTATAAGGTTTATAAGAAAGGAGTATTACTAGGTATAAAGCACGCCTATAGTTGAAGGGAATTAATAAAAATAGTTAAAGTCTAAAGATAACTACGCCGCTATATAGCCTCACGGTCCTTCTATATACTAATAGCTATCGCTGCCTAGTTTAACCTGGATATAAGGTAATTGGACGCCGTGAATTCGTTCGTTAATATAAGCCTTAAAGATAAAGTGTTTATAAAGATACCGTAAGGCTATAAGGTTCTAGGTAAGGTTCTATTATTATAGAAAGACCTTTTTAGCCTAAGGGTATTACTACTACTATCCTAGGAAGAAGTTAGCAGTACACTATAGAAGATAGAATTCACGGCTATCTCTAATAACTCTTATATTATAATCCGCGATAGTTTAATCCTATTCATCTATATTAACGATATTAGACGTACCTATTATAGAGATCGTAAGACTAACGCCAACGACCTTAAGGCTACTCGTAAGCGAAGTTATAAGTTATCTAGAGGTAATAAGATCCGTTAGTTCCTAGGGATTAAGTATCACATAAGTACACGGACTACGATATAGTCCCGAGGAGATCTATGCCTGACTAAGGGCTTCGGATCTCTGGGACCTCGGGTATCAGGATATAATAAGGGCGGATACCGGAAAAGACCGAATAGGATCCAAATAATATAGGACCTATAATAAAGTCTTTACCACCTAAATTAAGACTATAAAAGACTTATATAAATATAACTTAATATAATACACACACACGAGATTTCTGCTCTATGATAACGGTTTATTAAAAGTTATTCACGTATTAAGGCCGAAAATATAGTTTATTCGAACTAAGAAAGGAAAAGAGGAAAGGAAAAGTCTGCGCGGTGCGTAGGCAGCTAAGGATAGATTAGGTTATACGGGCCTTGCTAGGAGGTCCGTGCTTTTTAGTCCCGGCTACTATCGGGGACTATTCCTTAGGCTATAGCCCGTAATATACCCCGCCTCCCGGGGATAGCGAGGTTACTATGTAGGGTACCTGTTGCACTCGGTATAGCAAAGGTCGTGGTCGTGAATAGTTATACGGTTATAACATCGCGTCGTCCTGGCCTCGCTCCGTGTAATCCAAAAATAGCCTCTTTTAATCAATTCTATTAAAGGCTTCTTTAAAGGGAGGCAATCTATAATAGCTAAGGTTCTTTTAAGTCTAAAAGAGTATAAAGGAGCCCTTATATAGCGATGCTATTATAGGCTCCTCGCCGGCATGCATGCCCGCTATAAATTATATGCCTACTCTATGTATAACTAGGGGTTATTCCTTCCACCCTACTAACGTAGGAAGGGTAGTAAAATAAACCTCTTACCATTCCTTGTTTTTCCTATTTTCTTCCTCTTCTATAGCTTCCCTTTTTCCTAAAAAAAGAAATTGATTATCTTTTATATCGTAAGTAGCCCTAAGATATCTCGTAGGAGTAGTATACCCCTCGTCTACGGTTCGGTGCCGTAGCTAACCGTTAATAGATATCTAACTATAAGCCCCCTAGTAAGCGCCCTTATAAGAGTAGTAGCGATAATAACGTAAGTTTAGCCCGTGTTATTATAGGTTACGAGGTCGGCCGTAACTAATAGTGAGTACGCTCCAACTCCCCCCTCCCCGGAAAAAGCGTCATACACCTAAAGACCCTTTAGGCCCTCGCCGCCTCGCCCCTTACTCGTAGTACGCTACCCGGTAATATAAATACGAATATACTATCGAGTATTATTACTTGTTAGGCCCCGGCGCCGCTTATACTAATACTAGATACTACGAGTACTCCTACCATACCTATAAGTATACCGAGGTAAGTATATTAGTTAGGTGTATAGTTACCGTAATTAATAAGGAATATAACTCCCCCCTACCGCTTATAATACTGCTAACACCCTATAGAATACTACTTATACTATAAATAAGGACTCTAATAACGAGGAGACAAGTTTTTATATACGTTTCGCGTAGTAGCTTTTATATGAATAATTCGTTTTTCTTCTATACAGAATCGCCGCTAGTTCTACGAGGCGTGTTGTCGTTTTTAGATCGCCCTGGATTAAGCTAAGTCCGGTAAGAATATCGCCGGTCCTTTATAGTCCCCCGTTCCGGTTATCGCCCCTACCTTTATTATCGCCCCTACTCCCGTTACCGCTCTACCGGTTCGGACCTGCCGTGACCACCACTTAATCCACGCCTGCTCCCTTTCTAACCCTCTCGCTACTACCTTTCGAAACCTCTTAACTATCTATCTAACAGGTAAGTAACCGATAGTTACGATATCGTTAATAGAGTCGGAACTACTCGCTCTTATAGAGGCGGCTAAGGAGACGTTATTTATTAGTCGGATATTAAGAGATTCACAGCTTCGGTTAGATTAATAATAACTATAGTTATATTACAATAATTAGCAGACTATTAACCTACTTAATAAGAAGGCATAACACCTGCAAATAAGGCTATGCCACGTCGATATGTATAAGTAGTAGACGCGTTAATTGGTATAGTAAGGGCTTTTTAGCGTTATATACGTTAACACGAAGGATATAAGCGTAGATGGTTTAACGAAGGCGTTACCGAAGGCGGGGATTAAGCGATTATAATAATAGCTTAATTTAATAGATTAAAAGGATCGTATTAAGTTGTCGAAGTAATTTCACAAAGAGATTAAGCGTGCTAAATCCGTAGTAACGATAATAACAGCCCCCGAGGGCGTGGTAGATCCGATAGATATAGATCCGATTAAGCTAATTAGGAATAGGAACTGATTATAATAAAGTTAAATTAAATAGTTAAACTGGGCGGATTTAGATCCCCTTTATAAGGACGTTTTCCCTTGATTGTTATTTTTACGATATAAAAGTCAAGAGTTTTTAGTTTGAACTAAAGCCTCTAATTAGTTAGTTAACCTTGGAAGACCCACCTTAACTAGGAGGGTATATTGTATAGGCATAGGACTATAATATAGTCCTTAGGGGATCTATACCTGACTAAGGGCTTCGGACCTGAGGGACATCGGGTATTAGGATATAATAAGGGTGGATACCGGGAAAGACTAGATAGGATCCAAATAATATAGTACCTATAGACAGAGTCTACACTACCTAGAGTTAAGAGATAAAAGACTCTTAGAGATATAACTTAATATAATACACACACACGAGATTTCTACTCTAGCAGGACTGCTATATAAAGTGCTGTTTGGCGTGCGATAATACGACACCTAAATAAAAATATACCTTATATCCGAGATAGAGTTATTAATTATATTATTAAAAAACTACTAAGAAGCCTATGTAGGATATGGTTCTTTGTACGCTGAGAACTTGGACCTTCTTAGAGCTTTATACATAGAAAAGTAATAAAAGTTATATAATTAGTCTAGAATAAGATAATAGGTCTACTACGTATAATTATATATATAATTGCCCTTATAATTATAGAAGTATTTATATTACATCGTCTAATTACTATCTAATCTGTGAAAAAACGTATAATTTATACTTGCAGGGCCTGGATAAACCAATAGTATCATGACAATGAGTACAACTAGATACATTAAAAAGTAGGGACTTTCTATACAAAATACAGAGGTTTAGATATACTAAAACAGGGGGACTTCGTACTCTCTTAAACCGCCTTATAGCTCCTTAACATATTAAATAGTAACTAATAGCTCTACAAACTACCTCCTACGTAGCGCGTATATTTATACCTAGTAACTAAATCCTTTCTTATATAAAATAGCTATAGATAGGTTCTAGATTAATCTAAAGATATCTTATTATAGTATTGAAATTTGGTTTCGTATTATGGCTATTAGTGTAGGTACGTACCTCAACCTTTTTAAACCTCCTAAAAGGGTAGTTCACAAAGTACTACTTTGTACGGTTTTCCGGGGTTATATGGTAAGTCCCCACCCTGTCTTCTAGAACACCCCCTATTTGGAACACCACTTTACACCAAAACACTGCTTTTTGGACCCCTGCTATTTTATTAAATACAATTGTATATATTATAAGAATAAACCCCTAGATAGACTAAAATTCTAGTACTAATATTCTGTTCATAGTTTTAATATAGGTGTAGTAGAAGAGCTATAATATAGCTTAGAAGTTAGAGATTTCATTTTGTTAGTGTTACCATATATTACAGAAGGCATCCTAAAGAAATAGAAATGTACTAATTATAAATTAACCGATATAGGTATAGCTATAATATAAGTGCTAGAAATAACTTCGAACTCTATACTAGATATCCCTATTATCTATCTAATACTATATATTCTAGTTTCTATAATATAACTAAATGTAGACTTCCCCTACTATATCTTTTTATAGGCTTACACGTATTACTTAATAACTTCTCGAATACTGAATACTTTTTTATAAGGGTTCTATAGTAGTATCTATGAAACTTACGCTATTCTCTAATATTTAAGTTATACTTTTCACGAGTAATACTACTCTATTATAAATATTCTTAGTTATATTCGACGTTACTAAGAAAACATATACTGAAATAAATAAATAATCAAGTCCTAACTTCTAAGCTATATTATACCTCTTCTACTAGACCTATATACAAACTATGAACAGAATCTTAGTACTTGACTTTTAGTCTATATAGGGTTTTACATTTATAATATTTAGTATTTTATTAACTAAAACAGCAGGGGTCTACAAAGCAGTGTTTTGGTGTTAAGTGGTGTTCCAAATAGGGGGGTGTTCCAGAAGGCGGGGTGGGGACTTATACACCCGTGCCACTCTTTAGCCATACCAAAAAGGTCTGAGCCCACTGACATAATGTATAGGTGGGGTGCGTCATTCGCGTAGCCTTTCTGTTATTAGGTCCTCATGATCCCATTCTCCTCGCAGCCGAGCTAACACCTCATTCCACTTCTTCCATATTGCCTTATTGATCTTATACGTCTACGACAACGATATGCGACCCATACCTGGCAGCAACACCACCGTTCCCGGTGGTGCAGCTTTCGCCTCGGGCCTGGAAGCCTCGCCCCCTCTTACCTCCATGACCCCGCAGATGAGCTTTGTCCTCACCGAAGACCCCACGAGAGACGTACCACGCCCGCTCGTGCCGCGCCCTGGCAATCACCATTCTCGCGATCGCATGAAACATTCTACACAGGACAAGTCAAGGGAGACAAACCTGTCAAGCGACGATATCCCTCGGACCAGTGCAAAGCAACATGACCCAGTTTCGTCAACTCGTTCTAGTAGCCCATCGGACTGCAATCGGCCATCAAGTTGGTGGATGCCGATTGGACAGGCGAGAACCCGTCGCGAGATCTGTGGTCCTTCCTCAGTCTTGAGCAGTCCCTCATGTAACGAGTACTCGCTATGCGACTCATCGTCTGACGACCAAGATAGTGTTGTGCTGAGTGTAGTTGACGGCTCTTGCCTTGATTTTTCATTTTCCCCGAGTGAACAGGACAGCCAGGACGCCCCTCAGTTAATAATGCCCAGGCTTTTGATGCCATCGCGGGGATCTTTCACAGAAGAGGGGAAATCTCTCGGGAACTTGAAATTGCTTGTTGCGGGAGACACGGGCAAGTCCATCCAGGCCTATATTCACGCCATCGAGTGGGTCGACTTTGGCTGACATCCATGTCGACAGGACTGGGAAAGACTTCGTTGATCGAATCGATTATCCAAGCATGTCGGCATATCATCCATGTTGATACAGCGGTACCGACGTCGACTTCTAATGGCCACGAATCGATACCAACTGGGCCTCACACCATGGACCAGTTACGAAGCTTAGATGGCGGAATCCCGGACATCACGGAGGTCTATGCTAGTACGAAGCCCCGTCCGCCATGGTGGTATTTGGCAGAGAGCGTGGACTCGCATTCGAGACACGGCAGTTCAGACGATGGGATCCTGGAGAGGAATATCTGCCTGGTTGATACACCTGGCTACAGTGCCACATCTGAGGTAGAATGCCCGTAGCTCCCATTCATTGGTCTCGAGCTGACAACCTCATTCTTTTTAACACGCCTCTAGCCGATGGACGTCATCACAAGGGTGGCTCGATACATCGAAGATCATCTTCACGATGGCGGTTGGGTCGGCCTGGACGATGCAGACGTCTTGAGCGTTTTGAATACCAATAATGGACCGCTTGTCGATGCTGCTATTTACATGATATCAAGCTCAGGTAGAGTCAAAACCTCTGGGACGGGACCTGACTTCTATGAAAGCTGACAACTAGCTCAGGTCTCACATCAAATGACATCCAGTTTCTTCATTGCCTGGAAAATCGGACCAATATTATCCCTGTTCTGGCCCAGACAGACACACTACAGCCAGAACAAGTCGCACAGAAGAAACGACATATACTTGGGGAGCTCATCAAAAATCATATCTTGCCCTTCAAGTTCGATCTTCCGACGCTGACGCAACATAATGGCCCGCATATTATTTACGCAATCACGAATGAGCGTGTGTCTCCTGTCAATGTCGAAGCCGGTCTCCTAAGATCCGAATATGTGACCCCTCAAATTCATTCAGATCTATCTTGTCTCGTAAACAACATCTTCAGCGTACATGGCAGTGCCCGACTTCGGTACGCGGCAGTACAAAAGTTGCTGAGCTGCCGGAGGCAATCATCGCATCTTCTCCCCACATCTGCGACACTAGGACACAAGGTCATCACGACACCGTCAAATATTTACCACACTACTTGGACATCCCTTCACTCGAGTGAAGCCTGTCTGTTAGCCGACACTGGGCATGATTTCTTCAGAGTTAGCCTGGAGAACTGGGCGTCAGGCCTGCGGCAAAGCTTAAGGAAACAACATGCGGCACGTGAACAATGGATGCTGCACCCACAACCCTGCGAAATGCGAAGCCTGCTGGCAAAGAACACCTCAAATTCATTACAGAGGACTCATAGCAGGAGCAAGGGCATGCTGAGCTCCGTTGATGCGTCATGGCCAGTTGTCAGACAGCAAGACCCCTTGGGCTTAGTGGAATACAGCTTCCCACTGAAGTGGGCGGGCTGGAACATAGCACAACTAATTGGGAGTGCGAGCATGGTTGGAAGCTTAGCAATTTGGCTTTATTATTAGCTGAAGTACTATGAAAATAATTTACGGGTATAAATCTACGAGCTTAGCAGCTTGCCCTACAAGCAAGGCTGCTGCGCTCGCCCCTATAGGGGGCCACGTATATAATCCGATTATTTAAAAATATTATATAAATATTTATACTAAGTAATATAGATAAATATTATTACTTATAGATAGAGGCTATTTACTTCTAATAATTTCTAAAAGGATTTTAATATATAAAACTACGAAGATCTACTATAAAATTAAACTTATAGATATATATATAGATATATACTTCCTTAAGTATACTAAGAAATTGTATTTATATACTTTTTATACTTTCTATACTAATACTAATATATTATAATAAGCGTAGGGTTAGTCCGACTAGGGCACTTGGTTATTCCGACTAGGGCACTACTAACAGCACCTAATCCCAGCCGGTGTCACTTCCGGTTATACCTCAATACTTCCACATAATCTATAAACGGTATCGTTAATTAAACGAGCGACGATATCGTCTAATACTATACTAACACTGGCCCGCTTTTTGTTTTGCAGATAGAACTCTTAGTAGCCTGCGTTGTTTGTATTAGTACTACCGCCCGGCTCCTTTTACGGCTTTTTTGTGGTGTTTTTTAGGAGATATACCTCTATAGTATATAGTTATATAAGCGTAAATCTATTAGTACTTTTGTTTTATATAGGTTATATAGCAGATTTCGTTATAATCTACTAAGGGATCTTAGTACGAATCCCCTATAGATTTAACTTTAGACTATGCTATTATATACCACGCCCTTCTTACTAATCCCTCCCGTAATAGAATATAACGGCTTATTAAAAGTTGTTCACGTATTAAGGCCGAAAATATAAATTATTCGAACTAAGGAAGGAAAGGAGGAAAGGAAAAGTCTACGCGGTATATAGACGGCTAAGTATATATAGGATCGTACAGGCCTCGGTAATAGGTCCGTGCTTCTTAGTCCTAGCCACTACCGGGGATTATTCCGCGGGCTATAGCCCGTAATATACCCCCCCCGCCGCCGGAGGTAAGGTCGCGGTCGTGTTATAGTCGCACGGTTATAACCTTGTATTACTCTAGCCTCTCCGCGTATAATCTAAAAATAGCCTCCTTTATTCGATTCTATTAAAGGCTCCTTTAAAGGGAGGTGATCCGTAGTAGCTAAGATCCTTATAAGGCTAAAATAGTATAAAGGAGCTCTTATATAACGGTGCCGTCGCGAGCTCCTCGCTAGTATACGTGCTTATTAAAAACGATATACCTACTATTTATATAATCGGGGGTCGTTCCTTCTACCCTAATAGCGTAAGAAGGGTAGTAAAATAAACCTCCTACTATTCCTCGTTTTTTACTATTTTCTTCCTTTTCCATAGCTTCCGGTTTCCTAATTCTTTTTTAATTATCTTTTTATATTGTGAGTAGCTCTAAGATACCTTATAAGTCCCCTAATAGTATAACTAATATCGCCGAGTAATAGCTTATCTCTTAAGCCGTAAGAATCCTCCTCGCTATAAGTTAACGCTCCCCTTACTTATGGTTCCGTGCTGTAGCTAACCGTTAGCAGATATCTGACTTCGCCTCTCCTAATAAGCGCCCTTTTAAGGGTAATAGTGATAACGATATAAGTTCGCGGCCCTTATTACTACTGGTTACGAGGTCGGCCGTAACTAACGATAAGTAGACTCCCCCCCCCCCCCTTACTAAGAAACGATAAGCCCCTAAGAATCCCCTAGCACCTCGCCGCCTAGCGCCCTATACCTAATATACTACCCGGTAGTGTAAGTAAGAGAATAGAGTTATATACTACCACTAATTAGGCCCCGGCGCGGCTCGCGCTAATACTAAATACTATAAGTATTCCTATTATACTTATAAATATTCCGAGGTAAGTATGCCGGTTATACGCGTAGTAACCGTGACTAATAAGTAATGTAGCTCCCCTCTACCGCCTATAACGCCGCTAACGCCCTATAGAATACCGCGTATATTATAAATAAGGACTCTAATAATAAGAATATAAGTTTATATCTATCCTTTATATAGTAGCCTTAGTGCTAATTCTTTTATATAGAATCGCCGCTAGTATTAAGATACCTGCGGTCGCTTTTAGGTCGCCCTTAGCCTAGCTAAGTTAGGTAAAATTATCGCCGGCCCGTTATAGTCTCCTGCTCCTACTGTTACCGTCCCCCCTATCGCCACCCTTCCTATCGCCGCTCCCGCTCCCGCCGCCGCTCCGCCTCCTATTACCGCCCTATTATCCGCCGCCGCCCCGCCCTTTACTACTAAGTTCTAGGCAGGTATAGTATAAGCTCTTAACGATATAGCTACCTCCGTGCGTAGTATAGATAAGACGCTTAAGGATGTATCGTATAAACTAAAGAGCTATAACGATAATATAGCCTCTATTAGGGCGGAGGTATATAGCCTTTCCTACTACGGGTAACGTTTTTATAAGTATTTCGTCCCGTTATACCCTCTCCCGGCCGGTGCCTTAGAGGTAACCCCTAAGGCTATACCTGCCTCGGCTCCTTTTCCAGAGGTTATCGCTCGCCTTATCGCTAATAGCGAGGAGGGCGTAGTTACCTTAGCGGCTTACTTTAAGCCGATAAAGGAGTTATAGGTGAGTACCGCTAAGGGCGGTATAGCCTTATAAAAGGAGGAGTTAGAGGAAGGGGAGGTTATAGAGTAATAAGTTTCTTCGGTTACCTAGGTTATTTTTTATTTTTTATTTAATTCCTCGCTACTTATAAATTAAGTGGAGCGGGGGTATAATCCTAATATAGTCTCGTTTTCGGTTCTTATTCTCTTTACCGCCGCGTCGGCCTTCTTTTGCATCCGTGTCTTTTTTATATACTATTATAAAGGTCTATTATTCGACTATACTAGGCCGTGCTTCTTCTCGAATTCGTTAAGTGCTTATATCTCCTATAGGCTTTTAAATAATTCCTATAATAGTTCTATATAACCCTCCTAGTATACTAATACCTCGCGGACCTTACCGCGACCTCGCCTTCGGGTATAGGCGTAAAGGACTTCCTTTACCACCTATTCTTCCTCCCTATCTAGCCCTTCACGGATTAGTAATAGCTAGGGGTCTATTATCGCCTACCCTACTAAGGGGTTATAGTTAACTCGCCGTAGGAGATCCACGTGAAAATAGTTATAGATCTATAAGGGAATATTTAGTTCTATAATATAGGAGTTAATAACCTTTATAACTTTATATTTATAGTAAAGCTAAGTAAGTTTCTCCGAGGGCTATAGCGAGGAGTAGTTACTAATATCTAACTATATAAGGTTATCCTTTTCGAACCTCTTAGCCGGGTAACGCCGATAGTTTACCGATTCCTCCTAGCATAGTTATATAACGGCTATCGTAGCTTAGGCGAACTAGGTAGCTTCCTTAAGGCGACTTAGTAAGTCCTATACGGAAGCCTCGTGTATATCGGTTAGCGTAATCTTATTAACTTAAAGAGGGTTCGCGTGGTACCCGTGTTATAGGAAGAATAGGCTTCTTTAGATTATCGAGTTTACCCGGTTATTTAAAGCTAGCTACGCTATTAGTAGTAGCGTGTTCTAATCGCCTTAGGCGTAATAGGTATACGCCTATAAGTAGGCTTAGACTTCTTAGTTAATACGTTTAGGACCTTTATCCGTTTAAGGGTAGTATACGGTGCTTAGTCGCTATTTAATACCCGTGAGCTTATAAAAGTATCGCTAAAAGCGATTAGTTTAGTTTAACCCCCTATCGCTAATAATAGACTTTAGTATTCCGTGGAACCTATAATAGTAGAGTAAGAACCGTTTAGTATAGGCTTTAGTATTTATAGTATATATCACTTCAAACGTTACTAATTTGAAGAGTCGGTTAGTAATTACTTATAAGTATCTATACTTACTCTTACGGGTAGGTAGTAGGTCCGTTATAAAGTCTATTATGATATTATAGAAGATTCGCCCTAGTATAGGGAGTAAGCGTAATAATCCTCTTTTCGCACCCTTTTATACGTGGCTAGCTTAGTATATATAGTAGTTCCGTATAAATCTTCTAATATCTTAATTTATACTAGGCTAAAAGAACTAACGGGCGATTAGGGTAATAGTGCTATCCCTGCCTAGGTATCCGCTAACTACTAAGTTATAAATCGCTTATATAAAACGGCCTTATAATGGGTGGCTAGCCCCGTTTTCGCTGTCCTCTAGTACCTATAGGCGGTTACGAAATATTAGCTATCCTTAGTTAATTCTATACTCGGCGATCTATATTTTAAGCTTTAGCTCGGGGAGAAAACTCTATTCTCCCGGTACTACTACGGCGAGGGCACCTTTATAACGCCTATTAGTAGCCTTAGCTTTATCCTATAGTCGTTATATGTCGGGGTCTACTTCGAAGATTATAGTTAGCTCCGGTAATATTACCCTTATTAGGTATACTTAGGGGGAGATAGCTATATCGGGGATTATCTAAATATACCTCCCCTACTCTCGGATATTAGAAGAATCCTTAGGTATATTCTATTCTTAATATAAAAGCGTATCGGCTATAATATTACTACCTCTTTATCTATACTCTAATATTAAATCGTATTAGTTAAGCTTAGCTACTTAGCGACTCTAGCGCTCGGTTAGGGCTCTCTTAGTTATAAAGTATTTAAGCGCTTTATAATTAGAGTAAATCTAAAACCGGCCGTTACCTATAAGCTCGGCTTTCTAAACCTATAGGTAGTCTATAATCGTTAGTATCTCCTTATCGTGAATCGGGTAGTTATACTTAGCGGAGTTAAGACGGCGTAAATAGTATACGACGATATACCTATATTCTTATTCGTCTTCCTACAGGAATACGCTACCTAGCGCGAACTATAAATAATCCGTTTCTAGCTAGGTCTTCCTTTCGGGTTACTATTATTATAGGTAAGGCTTTTCCTAAAACCTCTGCTTTAGCGCCTTAAAGGCTGCCTTTTATAGGGGGCCCTAATAGAACGGGGCGTTCTTCTTTGTTAGGGCTATAAATAGCGCCGTAATAGCTATAAAGTCATGGATAAATATCCTATAGAAGTTAGCGAACCCTAGGAAACTTCGTACTTTAATCACGGAGACTGGTGCTTCCTATTCTATAATAGCCTTAAGTTTCTTAGGGTTATAAGATACCCTTTTTTCCGCTATGACGATA